CCCATTTCCTTTTCCTTCAAGAGGATATTTTTCTTTATGTTATCATAAACAATACTCCTACACTAATAAAAAAATAGTACGTGAAACACAAAGAGAAATCAGATTGAATATATTTACATAATATTATCTTAAAATTATGGTCATTTTAGTCGAAAATATCCATGTATTAACTATTACGAGTAATATTATGTACTCGTACATTTTTGGTCTACAAAGTAAAATGTGTAATTCATGATTCAAAATTGAAAATTTGAGGGATCAATCCCGTTAAGTACTGCATAAGTTTGATCTATAAACTTGGTTTCGATGATACACTTTTCTTAGCCTATTAATGCCAATTAACTAGAATAAAAATAGTGAAATGTAAGTGATGTAATTTTTCAAATTGGTTTGATGATCTTAGATGTGATGAATGTTTATTTGTCTAGACTCCGTGAGGAACAAACATGTGTTTGTTTTTATTTTGAAGTAAATAACCTAATAAAGACTCGGAGTGGAATATAAATGATCTTCAATAATAATTGGTTTGATAATTTCCAATTTCAAATGTTAATTATAACATGCCCAACATATTACATATATCTGTCCACATTTTTTCTACACCCTTAGGACCTGACAAAAGAGAATTAAAAAAATAAACTCATATCTCAAATATGATTACATTAGTTCCATGAACATAGACATAATCTTCTCTTGATTCAACATTTTAAAGTCATATAATGCACTTTAGGACCTTAAGTCCAACAAAAGATCAAGAAAAAGCAATGTTAATATGAAGATTATTTTAGCTAATAATTATCAATGAATTACACATTTATTATTTTATGAGATGAAGTATTTATCAGAAATGTGTTGAAAGTATTACCTTTATTTTTAGAAAAAGTTGAAGGCATTGCTTTAGGTCCACTTTGGAATAATTATTAAATTAGATTTTTATTATAAAATTTTGAAGTTGACTACTTTCATAAAATATTCTTAATTTTCTTTAAAAAAAACTACTAAAACTTATTTCAATTTTATCCTTATCCTCTCCGCTTATTATTTTTGTAATTTTATATCATGATATATGCAACCTTATAATTGCATTTATGCATAGAAAATATTTCATATTACAAGTACTATGTATGTATATAAAAAATTTTATATAGTAATATAAAAATGTATGACAAAATTACATATTGAGTTAAATCAGATTTGTTTTTTGCTGAATATATTCGCTTTCAACTCATTATATGCAACCTTAGGGAAATTAAGAGTTATATTTATCATTTTTCTATTTATATACGAAAAAATAGATGAAAGGCATGCATTTTAGTCTAGCTAGTATTGTTTACCTAAGCTTAATTATGATATTATTAGTGCTTCTTATCTACTTAGCACAAATTAAACCTGTTTAGCTAGCTAATATATGCTCTCTATATATACAACACCATAATACCATATAATTAATTAATCACTATAATGTTCCATCGTTTACATGTATTATTAATTATGTTATGTTTGACGTCAAATTAAAGAGAGGTATTAAGGCAAATAATAGACCACTAGGTTTAATTGCTAATTTACAGTTAGCCACAAATAAATTTCCGATCTTAATTAAACCATGAAGACAGATGGAGTTCTCCTCATGATGTATGACCATTATTAAGATCATTAACTAGTTGACTATTAATATAAATTTAATCAAATTAAAGTCGGTCTAAATATTATTGAATTTGAGTTATAAGTTGAGGATCTTACTCTGAACATATCTTTTGCTATAGTTGTCACAATCTTTTTGTCTCCTTTCCAAGGAGATGCTTCTTCTAAACACATTATACAACCTTATTCTTTAGGCATCAAACCTTAATTATTTCAATTTAGTGAATATTCTAGGGAGTTTACTAGGGTGAAACAAATTTGGTTTAAAACCAAACCGAACCGAAAATCGAACCGAATTAGGAATATGGTTCGGTTTTTTTCTTAAGTGGTTCGGTTTCGGTTTGTAAAATCAAGAAACCGAAATTGTATGGTTCGGTTTCGGTTTCGGGAAATGAAAACCGAAACCGAACCGAATTTCGGCCCATACTATATAAGGCAAAAAAAAAAAACCCTAATCACTCTTCTCAGCCTCTCACTCTCTCCTCTTCTCTTTCCGCCCTTTCTCTCTCCTCTAATCCTCTTCTCTTTTCTCCATTTGTGAGCTTTCTCCCTCTCGGTTCTCTCTTTCTCCTTTCCTCTTCTTATCTTCTCCAATCTCTAGTTCTCTACTCTGTCCTTTCTCTCTCCTCTTCGATCTCTTCTCCACTTTCACTCTCTTCTCCTCTTCGACAGTACGACCAAGGAGGCAAGGACGACCACCTGGGCACCAGTGTTCACATTCTAAAGGTTTTCATGTCAAATTCGACCATGAAAACACTAGATCTAGTGTTTTCATGGTCGAATTTGACCTTTAAAACCCAAATTCGAGGTTTTTCGGTGGAATGTGAGGTATGTCCTCTTTTTCTTTCTTTTAATTTGGTTTGAGTTTTTTATTTTTATGGTGGTGTATGATTGAATTGTGGTGGTGGTAGGTAGTTTTGGGTGGGTTTCGGGTGGTCAGGATGGATGGTGGGTTTCTTCAGTTTTTGGTGGGTGGAGGGGTGGTTTTTGATGGATTCGGGTTGATGCATGATGAGTGGGTTTCGGGTGGTTTTTGATGGGTTAGGGTGGATGGCGGGTGGGTTTCGGGTGGTTTTGGGGGATGGGTGGTGAGTTTCGGTGGTTTTGGTAGGTTAGGGTGGGTGGTGGGTGGGTTTTAGGTGGTCAGGGTGATGGGTGGTGGGTGGGTGTTGGTGGTGATAAGGTGGGATGGTAATAATTAATACCCTGGATTGGTTTGCTTTTGTTTGGTTCGGTTTTAATTGGTTTGGTTCGGTTCGGTTTTTTTGCAAAATTTGATGTTCATGATGCTTGATAGGAAAATTCAGTGCGGTTTGGTTTTTTTTTAAGAAAACCGAAATTTAGGTGGTTTGGTTCGGTTCGGTTTCAAAGAGAAAGTGGTGCGGTGTGGTTTGCAAAATCAAGAAACCGAAATATGGTGGTTCGGTTTCGGTTTGGGCCAAAAACCAAACCGAAAACCGAACTTTCACCCCTAGAGTTTACTCAAGAAAATACTCTGTAAATAAATATAAATCATTTTGAATAATTATGTAATTCAAGAGTAGTATAAACAAATGAACGAATGATACTCCGTAAATAAGTATAAATCATTTCAGTTTAGTGAATATTACTTAATTATCGCTAAAGAATACTAGTGACAAGCTTAATATAGATAGAACAATTGTGATTAAAGCGTTAGCACATGAAATAATATTCTAACAAAATCAAAAGTTGACTTTATTCTATACGTGATGAAATTGTAATCAATGAAGAGTAGTATGCGTATGTTAAGTACGTAGGTCGTAACAATGTGAACTATTTAGCATTCATTTTTGAGTTCTTTGGTTTTTGCTTGCAATGTTTTTTTCAGTTTTAAAATCCCACTTGTACAAAGGTTTCAAATGGGGGTACAACAAAGTCATCATACTTTGTAATTAAATTTGATTATGACTTTGTTAACATGCATGTTTTAGTTCAAAAGATAATAGATTAATGCATGCTATATCACTGATTTCACATTATTCTCACTTATATGTTGACATTACATGTTAATTAGTCCAAAAGTAAGGATTATTATTGATACTCCATTCTTTGTTTGTGTTCAAATTGGTTAAGGTTTGAATTTTATTTTATTTTTCATCTTCTTTAGTAATTACTTATATTTTGTTATATTACTGACAATACTTCGTACATTTAAAAGATAAATATTTTATACTAAACAGAACGAAAAACAAAATTAGAATATTGGTTGTATATATGTAACAATAACACCCTTTATTAAAGTTTCATCATTGATTGTTTAACCAGATTCACAACATGTTTGTTAAATCAATTTTGTAGAACAATAAAGCCTACTTACGTTCAATTTCACTCATAGATTCATTCGATTCCTCTAATTGATAAAAATATTTCGACAACATGCAAGTACACCTTGTACAAGAGTACATCATACATTTACTTCAATGGATGGCAAGTACAAGAGAGTATTATCAATTTGTCATTATTTATACGTACATGTAACATTCTGTTGCAATTAAGTTTTAGTCATAATTCCACGTTAAGCCACCCTTGGAATGAAATTAATTAATGTATAATTGTATAAAATTGATGCTATATAGTAATATAGACAAATAGTATATACTGTAGTATATAGTCGTCTACCACCGACCTCTTCTGAACTTTTGATTAGTAGGCCGTTATATATGAGTTACAGTATACTTCATAGTTCATACTACGTACTAATTATGTATTTGTGTTAATTACGTAATTGTTATATAATAAAAGTTAAAGTAAAGTTTAAGTAGAACAAATTATCTTTCCTTTAAAAAGTAAAAAGGTTGAGCAAATATAGTCAAAACGTATAATTATATAAATAATCAGAATCTTCGTTAAGTTGAAGACGTACAAAAACCAATTAAATTGGAAGTGCATGCAGCTTTTGCGGCTTTCATACATACATACAGATTTTGAAACATAATTAAAAAAAGTTTATTTGCAAAGTTTAGTCAGCTAATTTTATGGGTAAGTAAGTATTTTACTAAATTTTTAATCAATTCTATGCTCACTTAAGTAACCAGATAATACAAACATCAGAGATACAATAAAATAAAATTATTTTTTGGCTATATCCACTCCATAGTTTATAAAAAGTTCACACTTTATTTTGAAAGTAGATTTAGAATAAAAACAACCTAGGATTTGGCTATTCAATCATGTCAATTTTTATCGATTTATCCGTGTACCTAATCTAATACGTAGTAATTAACACTACCAATTCCCGATGAGGTGAAAAGGTTGGCGATGGAACGGGATCAATGATCACTTATCAACACAAATATATAATGTATGTCCGTAACCAAATTGGCTAAGTAGACAAAATCAAACTCCAAAACTGAGCAAAATTTGCGGCTTAATCAAACCAAGGTTTCCTAGCAACATATAAAACAGCATTATATCTAGCACTCATACAAATTCGTAAGTTTTGTCAGCTAATTTGATGGGTAAGGCATAGTAACATAGTGACTACAACTTATACCAGAAGTATCAGAAGTAAACTGATTATACAAACTTGCAAGTCCAATCTTAAATGACAGTCTGATAGAAGCAAAGTGATTCATCCTCTTATCATCTTTTCTTAAAACCATATTTCTTCCGTTCATAGAACAGATCTGTTTTGGCACTTCCTAGATTGACAATTTTCGGACACCCATCTCTATCCTTCTCCTGCTGAGTACATTCCTTGCAGTAGTAGGCATCTGAAATGCCGACACCTCCACAGATCACACATCTACCCTGAAACGATCCATAATTGCACTCATCGCAGACTCGCACAAGAGTGCATGGACGAACATATGAATCACAAATCACACATTTTCCATCACACTTCTCACAAAGCCGTCCAATAGCAATGCCTGGTTGCTTCCGGCACATGATAAGATCGGGATGATGCTTTGCCATGGCTTCTGCAAAGACCTTAGTACCTCAAAAAGCTCTGCCAAACCAGACCCACAGTCAAAACTAGAATTGAAAACTGAAGCTAATAATCTTAGGAAGATAGAGTGGGGATGCTGTTAAAAAAAACCTTTCAGGAAACAGTCAAATGTAATAATCTTAATGGTACTCCAAGCACTTGTTATAAACTCCAATATGGCATATTATATGAAGCAGATCAACCATTGGGCCTCAGGCCAAATATTAATTGCCCCTTATTTATAAATTGCATACTAACAAGAAGAGCAAAACCAAACATTTAACTATTGGTTTAGAATACTGATATGATGGAAGCTAAAACATAATGTGTTCAGGGCCTCTCAATACCAAAGGTATAGGTCTCAACTTTTAAGAGTTAAGTACTCTTTCAGAAAACATTATTCTAGCATCAATTCTAATAGAATGCGGAGTAGATGTGAATTACAGAGTGATATATGAATGCTGAGTAAATATATGAAGCAAAAAATATAAATGCAGGCCTGCAGGGTAGCAGCTTCAGAACTTAAAACACCACTCTGAAAGACAAGAATAAAATCACAAGAACCCAAGTTTTCGAGACCACGAGTATCTCGACAAACATCAGATACACTATATGTACTTATAGAAGACAATATGATACAATACAACATATTCTAATCATAATATCACCCCAAATGAACAACAAAATAGATCCTTTCACCTTAGTTCCAGACCACTAACATAAGCCTCAAGCCTTCAAAATCAACAACATTTCAATATTGCAAGTTCATGATTTACAAGTTGAACAACCAAAACACATTAGACATCCAGCAAAACTGCGAAAGACTTGCAATTTTTTTCCACAAGAAATGATCACTTAGACCAAAAACAAAAAGCAAATTCAGTCTGACGGGGAACTAAATTACTCTCATTACAAACCCGTCAAGATGTCCTCGCCAGTTCAAGGAAAGCAACCTTCTTCATCATAGCACTCCATACTTCCATAGTATAAAGTCTGAGAACATATCCATCTTACATACGTGTTGAACGGCTTAAACCCAAGGGTGAACATCTAAGGATGCCTTTATTAAAAGGGGTTTCTAGCAGATGCATAAACTGGTTGCTATTTCATGATTCTTCTCTTTGCCATCCTCTTGTAATAATGGTAAGATTTCTCTCTCATAATTTCCAACAATATCTCCACATTGCAAGGCCTAAACTAATCTTCCAATTCAATGCCTAAAAATCCTAAAATTTGCTAAACTGACAAAAGATAATGCTCAAATAAACAAAACCTCAATAAATAATCAATTCAATTTTCAAGAAATTCCCAGAAATTAAAACCTAACGAAGAACAAAATCAACCCTAAGTTACTACATACAAAAGTAATTGAATTAAGCAAAAATCAACAAAACCCAAGATAAATTTCAAAAAATTGGAAGCAAATACTTGAATAAAAGAGCACTATAAAGCTAAAATTTGAAAGAAAAGCATGAATTAGCACACAATTATAGTACAAACGATGAAATGATAACAAAATTACAAAATAATGCTTTAAATATAATCAAAGAAAAGGGTTGAACCTCGGAAAGATGAAACGGCGACGAAGATGGTCGGAGATCGAAGAGAGGAGAGAGAAAATGAGGGTGTTTTCGAACTTGGAAGCTTTAGTTGCAGAAACCAATTTGAACGAAGAAGGTACTGGAGATGGAATAGATTCTCTAAACCGTCTTTTTAACCCGTATTTGATTTTTCACATCTTAAGCCCATTTTATTAATGTGTTAAACCTATGTTATTATGTGGGCCTTTGATATCAAATTTGATGAGTTTTACTAATCTAATTATGAATTAATTAATTCATTTATCTATCTATAATCTATCATAATAATACAGAGTAATAACAATAAAAAAAAAGAATCTTACTAACGAATGCTTTTGGAGTGTTTGATAACCCTTTTAAATAGTTCCTAAAATAGTATGGAGTATTAATTTGGGAATGCATGCCAAAATCACACATCGATCGGTGTAATTAATGTTTATTTCAAGTTAATAATTCTTCTTTTATTTATCTTATCCAATTGTTAGCTTTTGTCTAAAAACAACAATAACAATTAAAAAAGAAAAAAAAAAATAAGCACATATTCCTTATAACTTTATGTATCTACTATTCTTAAAAAAAAAACATTAAGAATGTCTATAATGCACAATAATTACACTACGCAAAAGGATTCATCTTTAAGTTACTACATAAGTAAATTTTGAAGGTTGAAAACAATTCTAAAAAAACAATTTTTAGAGAATCGAGGAACTGGTTAACAATCAACGTCATTGCATATGTTTATCACCGTTCAGGACATGATTTTCACAAAAAAGGCTGAAAATCATGACTTGAATTGGATAGTGTAAAATCAATCTGTAGTTGATCATATATATCTTCAAGAGATCAATAGATTTGTATTTACATAAAGAAACAATAATTTCGTATAAGAAATAATCTATGCTAGAATGACTAATAGAGACATTTTTGTTGTCTTGTTCGCGTCATGAATGTTTTTACATATTTATAGTAACAAAAGTGTTGTTTAGATGATTAATACTTCTAATGCTTGCATATAACAGAGATTATTTAATATATTAACTGGTTTTATCTTTATAAGTTAGAGTCTAAAATTCAATAGGTATAAATTTAAATTATTATAATTACACCGCCTAATAAGATACAATATACGTACAGCGCCTAATAAGATTGTCATAGTTAATAACCCTTTAGAGAGCACATAATTCTACACACATGACTCAACTCCATTACTTAATTTGTGAACCAAACTACTTATAAAAAACCAGGTGATGTATTGAAAGTATTGGCACATTGAATTCATGTAAATCTCATCTCAAAAGATCAACATAACATTGTTAGGTTCCAAAAACCTTATAAAGGGGCCCACCTTAATCTCATGTCTCTATCTCACTAGTCCATGGACCCAAACATTATTGCTGCCTCTTCAACCTCAGATATTCAATCCCTCTCAAAACAAAACACATTATTACTTTGACATTATTTTCCAACTTGTTTATAAAGTCTGTCAAATAATAACCAACACTTTACACCATCACCATAGCAACAAACAGTGAAATCCCTCAGCAATCAAACCCAAACTTCTTCATAATAATATTCCCTCAAAACTAGTCATGTCAGAATCCAATATTATTGGATCCTACCCACCAATATTCCGCTCATCATCTAATGACACGACTCGAAAACTCAACCTGAAAGACGGGCAGGTAGTAGTAGGGGCAGGGATCTTGGACCCCTTACATCCGTCCCTGCCCCTACCCTTACCCCTGCCCTTAATCGATATGCAGTGTTTGGATTTTGAAAAACTCGACATGGCACGTAGGGAATGGGGAATATTTAGATTGGAAAATCATGGGGTTCCAAGTAATCTTCTAAGGCAACTACAGGAGCATGCCAAAACATTATTTGAGCTACCCTTTGAAACCAAACAAGGCCTTGATAAAAACTGCCCTATAAAATACTTTTGGGGTACTCCTGCCCTTACTTCTTCAGGTGTTGCCCTTCCAAGAACAACTGATGCCCTTAATATGGATTGGGTTGAAGGTCTTAATTTTCCTGTTAATCAACTTCATCAACATCAACACTTTCATCATAATCCTTTGATCAATCATTTCAGGTTCGTACTAATTACTAATATCTTAATCCTTTTTCTTTAATATTCTTTTACATATATCTCTTTTTTAATAATAAGGTTTGTGTTAATAATATTTTAATCATAGATGTGGTTTGATTAACATCTATAATCATCTTATTATTATATTATGTTATGTTAATAATACGTTAATCTCCACGTATATGTCCACCATATTTGCTTACAACTTTACTTTGTCACCTACTACAATTTTTATTTCATTGGTCATTTGTTTTAAGTAGCTATTATTAAGTATGAAGTACATTATATAGTCAATTAGCTAAAGATTAGGTAGAATCTTACATCCTTAGTAGTGTTATTAATTATTACATCTTACTAATCTATTACATAATATCATAATTTTAATATTACTCAATGTATTGTGGTTCAAACTTAGTATTTTGAAAGGAATGTATGTAGCCATAAAGATGTTACCTGAGATTGTGCTTACATCGAATCTGATCAGATCAACTTAAATTGATACTTGTATAAATTATTGAAGATGTATATGATACCAATAAGTTATGAGGTTCTGAATCATATTTGTCATCACAATCCATTATGAAAAGCTAATTAAGGTTTAAGTTTTGGTGATATGGAAATATCTCGTTTATTATATTATGGAGACCAGGTTTTGATCCCAGTCCATACGAAAATGAGTGGTCTTTATGTCTTCACATATTAACAGACGAGGGTGATAGAACTTTACAGATGATTATGATTGATGAGATATAACACAAAATGTGAATCGTGAAACACTATTAGCGATAATGTAAATCGGAAAAATGATTGGTAAGATCGAATACATTGTAAGATTAGATCATTGGTAAAACAATAGAACCAAGTAGGCTAGCTTGGCTTAGATTTAGTTACTTAACATGAGTCTATTGGACCATGTCGGTAACTAGTCTAACTACATTTGTGGTGGGGCCTAGAAATTTTTAACTATGAATATGGAAGTTAACTAAATCTTACGAGTAGACATTAAAAGCTTTCATTATTACAAATTGCAAGTGGACACTTGCAAAGTTACAAATAGACTGGACTTGTAGTACTGTACTGTCTAGGGGTCTAGGCCTCGTGTCGAAAGAAGGTTTGAGGCCTTGATAATTAAACCTGTCAAATCCTGATCCGACACGGTAATCCGACCCATCAGATTTTAAACTGTTTTATAAAGATAGAATCTGAATTTGACCCGACCGACCTAAATGATCCGAAATACACTCAATTTGACCCATTTATCATAATTATAATGATTCAAGCAATTCGAACCACTCGAATTGTACCAAACAACCCGAAATTTGACCCGATCTGAACCATTGATCCGAATTGACAGGTCGACATGCAATCTTGAATTATTATCCTGTTATTAGATGCATCAATTTGATTAAAACACGCTAGTAATGATTAGTGATTGTCTTGAAAAGTCGCTCATAGACAGAATGTTTAAAAAAGCGCTAGTAATGTTATTAGATGCATCAATTCGGCTTAAACGCGCTAGTAATGATAAGTGGTTGTCTTAAAAAGTTGCTCTTAGGCAGAATGCTTAAAAAAAAGAGAAAAAAAAAAAAGTAATGTTATTAGATACATCAATTTGACTAAAACACTAGTAATGATGTTATGTATAGCTTGTTCAAAAGCATGTAAAAATGTATGAGTAAAATTGAATGGTATTAGGTACAATTCAACTAAAGTTGAGTTTAAATTAGTTAGATACAGAGTACTTATTAAATTAATTAGGTCATTTATATTTGTCATAAGTAGCCAAGTAGGATCATTAGACGACTTACCATATAGATTATAGAATGAAGTCTTGTTAATTTGTTATACATGCATATCAATTTTCTATTTGTACAAATTCAATTTATTTATCATGTACATGACTTGACATCATACAAATATTCATGTCGTACCTTTTGTCTAAACAACTCTTAATTTACCAATACTTGTATTATTGCACCAGGAAATTATTGGAGGACTATATAGAACATCTAACAAGAATCGCCTCGACAATATTTGAAGCCATGGTAGAAAACCTTAAACTCGATTTACAAGTACTTAAACCATGTTTAGATGAATCAACGGGGATAATCCGAGTTTATCGCTACCCTCGACGTACCATTGAAGAGCATGTTAGGGGCTTGCATGAGCACACATACAGTTCTATTATCTCAATATTGAGTGAAGATCAAGTGGGTGGCCTTCAATTTCTCAAGGATGACCAGTGGTTCAAAGTGACACCTAACCCTAGCACTTTAGTTGTTAATCTCGGAGATATGATGCAGGTACAATAACTTCATTTTACATCTTTTCTTATATTACTAATATATCCCTTTGGTATCTTAATTTAAGGATGTTCCTTTGTTCTACGAGTAATAGATTCTTAAAAGACATTGCTACAAAGTATCAATGTAAAGATAGTAAAAAACTGAGCCGACCCGACTAGACTTGCCTAATTAAAAAATGATTCAATATATATAGTACGGATCTGTACGAATCATGGGTACATTTAACATCAATTTTCATCTACATAGGGTGTTTACTAAAAAAACAATTGAATTGAACTGAACTAATTGGAGTTGAATTGAACTAAACTGTACTGAGCTGAAATGAATTGTTATAAGAGAAAGGAAATTAAGAATTAAACTGGACTGAAATTACTTTTTTTTTTTTTTTTGGTAAAAGTAAGATAAAAAACATTAGGATGTCCCAATTAGAGTAGTAGAGTTGATAAAGTTTAATGTATCCCCGTTCAAAAAAAAAAATAAAAAAAAAATTGGGGTTTAATGTATCATGGGATTTGGGCTATCATTTTCATTCTTTGGGATGCGACTTAGGCTAAATACTGTAAATAGTGAAAATTTTACCCTACACCCTAGTGTAGGGTGTGTTCCCTACACCCCCCCTATGCTACGTCGTTTTGTAGCTGGTATTGAGTTCTCATGTGCAGCTTCTTTCCTTTTGCGATTCTTTCCTTTTTTTTTTTTTTTTTCCTTTTTTTCTTTTTTTCTTTTCTTCCTCTTTTTTCCTTTTTCCTTTGA